CTCCAGTGAATAAACTATTGTAAACTAATTTTAAAAAATCTAGATCCTTCTTTCAGAATAATGCTGCATTGTTCATTACCAAATGTGGCAACAAGGAGACTACTTAAATAACAAATTGACATTATGCTTGTGGAAGATGAATTATATCTAAGTAGCCTTTCTCTTTGTAAAATGCTATTGTGTTATTTTGTTTTGTTTTGTTGTATTGTGTTTTTTGAGACAGAGTTTCGCTCTTGTTGCCCAGGCTGGAGTGCAATGGTGACCTTGGCTCACTGCCACCTCTGCCTCCTGGATTCAAGGGTTCTTCTGCCTCAGCCTCCTGAGTTGCTGGCATTACAGGTGCATGCCACCACACCCAGCTAAATTCTGTATTTTTAGTAGAGACGGGGTTTCACCATGTTGGCCAGGCTGGTCTTGAACTCCTGACCTCAGGTGATCCACCTGCCTTGGCCTCCCAAAGTGCTGGGATTACAGGCGTGAGCCACTGTGCATGGCTGCTATTTTGTTTTAATACATCTGATTTTATGAAAAATAGGCAGTATACTTTGGTGTTCTACGATAGGTGATTACACTTGTTTTATTTTTCCTACCATATATCCATCCTCTTGTGCCATTGGAAATGCCTTCTTTAAGACTGTCTAATAGCCCTCATTCCCTCTTGTTAAAACACATGTTCAGCCAGGTGAGGTTGCTCACGCCTGTAATCCCAGCACTTTGGGAGGCTGAGGCAGGCGGATCACTTGTGGTCAGGAGTTCAAGACCAGCCTGGCCAACATGGCAAAATGCTATTAGTCTCCACTAAACTTTTTAGTCTCTACTAATAATACAAAAATTAGCCAGGTGTGGTGGCAGGCGCCTGTAATCCCAGCTACTCGGGAGGCTGAGGCAGGAGAATTGCTTGAACCCAGGAGGCAGAGGTTGCAGTGAGCCGAGACTGTGCCACTGCACTCCAGTCTGAGCAACAGGATGAGACTCTGTCTAAACAAACAAAGAAACAAACCCCACATGTTCAGTAAATTAAGTTTTCATTCATTAAGCAAGGTACTTTTAAATGTTATGGGGAACTCCAAAAATAAACAAGTAGGCCTTTGCACTTAAGCTTATTTTAGTCTGTTGGGTGTAGACACATAGGTTCACAGATTCTGTGTTCATCAGGACATTTTTTGTTATGGCAGAAGCCTATTTTAAACTGGCTTAAGCAAAAAAGGAGACTTACTGGCTTACATAAATGAAAGGCTGGCTTTGGGCTTGGTTGGATCCAGATGCTTAATGTAATATTAGCCAGAATCTGTCTTTCTTCGTTTTATCTTAGCTCTGCTTTCCTCTGGATTGGATTCATTCTTAGGCAGTATCTCCTCAAGTGGCGACAAAGACGGCCACACCAGGGCCAGGCTTACATCTGAGTTTAGTAAGCTCAAAGAAGAGCTTTCTTTCCAAATAGTTTCAGCAGAAGTCCAGGAGTTAACTCTGATGGGCCAGATTTGGATCCTCTGGAGTGGATGGGGGTGGGGGACAAGGGTAGAGATGGCCAGTTCTATTTTAACTATGTGGGATAAAGGGAGATCAGTCTCCAAAATGGAAGCTGTAGGTTCAACAACAAGAAGCAAAGATGTTGATAGGCAAAAACAGCAAAAGGTCTACAGAAGTGAAGAAGAGAAAGCTGTGATAAAAATGTTTTGGTTAATCTAAAAAGATGAATTCTGATAAGAGCTGCTTAGGGAAAGCTAAAGAGAGGAGACAGTATTTGAATTGGGCCCTGAAGTACAAGTAGAGTTTTTCCAAGGCAGGATGTGTAAAGAAAAGATTTTCTAGATCACTCATTGGAGAAGTATGGCATTGAAAAAAGAAAATTAAAATGGAAGCTTCTGCAATCTAAAGGGGAATGTTGAGATTTCCCCCCCCTTCAATATGGAGAAGACTTAAGCATTTTTGTGGCACAGGACCCTAAGCAAGTAAATAAGTTAACAATGCAAAGGAGGTAATCATTGATGAAGAAGTGGAGGGGAATTCAGTGGCATTAAGGATACACATGGAGGAGGTCTCCTTAGAAAGGAAAAGAAAACCATTTGTTCCCTGAGGATAAGTTGAGGAAGGTGGTGGTGGAAGTTAAAACAGAAGTTTGTTGCTAAATAGTAAAGTGGCTTGCACTTTGTTTTCTAAAAGTAATAAGAAAAAGTTTATCAGTTATCTATTGCTATATAGCAGATCATTCCAAAATGATTCTGTAGGTTATCAATTTGACTTTAGCTCAGCTTGGTGGTTTCTTCTGCTGGTCTCACCTTTGGTCACTCATGGAATTGTGGTCATCTGGAGCGTGGATGGATGGTCTAAGATCCATGTTTGGTCTAAGATCACATGTTTGGTGGTTTGTGCTGGCTGTTAGCTGGCCCCGTCATCCACAGTGAGCATTCACATAGCAGTGGCTGCATTTCAAGAGACAAAGAACTGAAGTAGTAAAGCCTTTTAGGACCTAGATTTGGAACTCCTATACCCACAGTGTCACTTCCATTTCATTGGTAAAAGCCAAGTCACAAGGCCTGCTCAGCTCAAGAGAGTAAAGAAATAGAGTCCTCCTCTTTATGGGAGGAGCAACAAAATCATGGGAGTATGTGTTGAAATGGGAGGAATTTGTGCTCCTCTTGTTCCCTACTACCTAGCCTTTTATTTTGAAAATTTTCAGTCTTGGCAACCAAGTTAAAAGAATTTCAAAGTGAACACTCATATTTGTATCACCTAGATTCTACTATAAACATTTTTCTTTTTTTTTTGAGATAGAGTCTCGCTCTGTCGCCCAGGCTGGAGTGCAGTGGCGCGATCTCTGCTCTCTTCAAGCTTCGCCCCCCCGGGTTCACACCAACCTGTCTAATCACATATTTATCCATCTATTCTGCTGTCCGTTAATTCATCTTTTAAAAAAAATGCATTTCAAAGTAAATTGTAAGAGCGAGGCACAGTGGATCATGCCTGTAATCCCAGCTGAGGCAGGAGGCTTGCTTGAGGCCAGGAGTTCAAGACCAGCCTGGGTAACATAGTGAGACACACCCCCCCCATCTCTAAATGTCAAGAACAACAAATTGTAGACATTAGTACTTTCCTCTAAGTACTTTGTGCATATTTAACAAGAGTTCAATATTTACAGCATTTTCTTTTGATATAAAGTTTACATACAGTAAAGTGTGCATATTTTAAATATACATTGTGCCCATGCTTCGTAGCCTACCACAGAAGGGAAAATAATTGTATGAAGGATTGCAAAATAATACCCCCCAAGAACATTCCAAGAACATTCTTTGAATTCCTCTTTCTTCATGACCTCCTCACTAATTTTTTTTTGTTTGTGTAGTATTACCTCAACACTTCGATTTTTGTTTGTATTATATTAGAGTTTATTTTGTTTTTTTCCTACTTCCTTGCATCACGCATATATTGAGCATATATGGTAGACAAGCACTGTGTTTGCTAGAAAGAAAGATCATAGAATGTAAACAGGAGCTCTCTTGCTTTCTAGGTATTTAAACTAGATGTATCACAAACCAGATTAGATTAATTATATGTACCATTTATTTAATGCTTATGCCCAAAGCCAATGATAAGCACTTTTATGTGTATTATTTCATTTAGTTTGTATACTAATTTAGATTGATACTTTTTTATTTAAAAAATTAGGAAAGTAAGACATACAAGTTTTCATTTGCCCAAGGTTGTATGCCTTCTTTTTATTTTTTTTGAGACAGAGTCTCGCTCTGTTGCCCAGGCTGGAATGCAGTGGCGGGATCTCAGCTCACTGCAAGCTCTGCCTCGCAGGTTCATGCCATTCTCCTGCCTCAGCCTCCTGAGTAGCTGGGACTATAGGTGCCTGCCACCACGCCCGGCTAATTTTTTGTATTTTTAGTAGAGACGGGGTTTCACTGTGTTAGCCAGGGTGATCTCGATCGGCTGACCTCGTGATCCGCCCACCTTGGCCTCCCAAAATGCTGGGATTACAGGTGTGAGCCGCTGCGCCTGGCCGGTCACCTTCTTAAACTAAGGTGATGTGACTCCAGAATCCATATTTAACCCTTTTATCATATTGTTTAGAAGGAGGAAATGTGCTCTGTGTTACAGAGTAGCTAAGCAACCTTTCAGTTGGTCATACTGCTTCACAGGGTAATCTTGGTCTGAATTAAGTGTTTGTCTTAAATAGAGGAGTATAAATTTTTGTAAGCTAATCTATGACAAAGTAATCTTCTTATCTTTTCATGAATAAAAATATTTAAGGATTTTGAAAAGGAGAAATTTTGGTATTATAACTATTGATTTAACTGCAGATAATCAGAATAGAAATGTAATTAAAACTATATGACCAATTCAGCTGTAATTTAATCTTTGAGTGAAATATTACCTCAGAACTTCTAATAAGCCTTAACACTTTTGTCTTATTATTCAAATCCATGTTACATTATACATTTTTAATATTTCTGGAAGACTATTAAACCTTAATCAGTTTTGCACATAGTATTTTGATAAAATAATAGTTTCCTATTTTATTAGCTAGGTATTGGATGTTTTTATTGCTAATTGACTTTTGAGCAATTTAACAAATAGCAAAAGATCAAAAACCATTTTGACTTGCTATTTCTGCATATCAGTAAACCCTGTCTGAACTTTTGAAAATATGTGACTAGCTCTTAAGTCATTTCATGCTAAGAATTCTGCCAGAAGTACCACTGGTTAATGGCAGCCATTGTGACTGCTAAAATGAAAGTTAATTTACTGTGCCAGCTTTCCAGTTGGGTCAGGAAATGGGGTTAAAGTAATGTGTATCTGAACATCTTCTGTAACCCAACAGTGTATAAGGTGTTAAGTGTTCCTTCACCCAGATTTCATCCAACTGTTTTTGTTTATTTTATAGTGTGTTTTTCTAAGTGGCTTTAAGTCCTATATCATATGGGGTAGGTTGCAAACAAAATATATTTATGTTTAGAAATCTAATTGAGTGTTATGTTTATTTTTATGTATAGCTCTTGCTGTTTTGGAAGCTACAAGAAAAAAATAGAGGAAGGAAGGTTTGATCTTTTTGGTGGACATGGCTCAGATATCCAGCAACAGCGGATTTAAAGAATGTCCATCTTCACATCCGGAACCAACAAGAGCAAAAGATGTGGACAAAGAAGAAGCATTACAGATGGAAGCAGAAGCTTTAGCAAAACTGCAAAAGGATAGGCAAGTGACTGACAATCAGAGAGGCTTTGAGTTGTCAAGCAGCACCAGAAAAAAAGCACAGGTTTATAATAAACAGGATTATGATCTCATGGTGTTTCCCGAATCAGATTCCCAAAAAAGAGCATTAGATATTGATGTAGAAAAGCTCACTCAAGCTGAACTTGAGAAACTATTGCTGGATGACAGTTTTGAGACTAGAAAAACACCTGTATTACCAGCTACTCCTGTTCTGAGCCCTTCCTTTTCAGCACAGCTCTATTTTAGACCTACTATTCAGAGAGGACAGTGGCCACCTGGATTATCTGGGCCTTCCACTTATACTTTACCTTCTATTTATCCTTCTACTTACAGTAAACAGGCTGCATTCCAAAATGGCTTCAATCCAAGAATGCCCACTTTTCCATCTACAGAACCTATATATTTAAGTCTTCCGGGACAATCTCCATATTTCTCATATCCTTTGACACCTGCCACACCCTTTCATCCACAAGGAAGCTTACCTATCTATCGTCCAGTAGTCAGTCCTGACATGGCAAAACTATTTGACAAAATAGCTAGTACATCAGAATTTTTAAAAAATGGGAAAGCAAGGACTGATTTGGAGATAACAGATTCAAAAGTCAGCAGTCTACAGGTATCTCCAAAGTCTGAGGATATCAGTAAATTTGACTGGTTAGATTTGGATCCTCTAAGTAAGCCTAAGGTGGATAACGTGGAGGTATTAGACCATGAAGAAGAGAAAAATGTTTCAAGTTTGCTAGCAAAGGATCCTTGGGATGCTGTTCTTCTTGAAGAGAGATTGCCAGCAAATTGTCATCTTGAAAGAAAGGTGAATGGAAAATCCCTTTCTGTGGCAACTGTAACAAGAAGCCAGTCTTTAAATATTCGAACAACTCAGCTTGCAAAAGCCCAGGGCCATATATTTCAGGTATAGTCTTTTCTTACTAACTTTGGAAATTTAGTATAACAGAGTTCATATTTGTGTACGTAATTTGTTAAGAAAAAAAATTTTTTCATTTTGAATTTTTTCTTTGCTCTCAAGTGTGCTTTGATTGTTTATGTGGCAAAGGATTAAATGTGATTAGGCCAATTGAAAAATTGCTTGCTATTAATATTTTTCCAGGATTGTAAATAAAAAGCCTCTAATGAAGGATCTGGCTGTCACTGAGAGGCATTTAAGATATTTTAAATTTGTCTGACCATGTCTCCTCATTACATATGATCCCTTCTTTCTCTTCCTTATTCCTTTTATTTTTTTAACGCAGATAAGGAATTTTTATTTTTAGTCCCATTATGGAAATTCTCATGCATTTTGTTTTGTTGTTTTTAACCATGAATCAATGAATGAAAAAATAACCCCAGAGAGAGAAGAGCAACTTAAAGGACTCTCCCTTTAAACACTTTTATCGATAAAAGTGAAGAATGAAATATTACCATTGCGGATTTGTGTTTTGCTCTTCTATCTGTGTAACCTGGGAATGTTTAAGCCTCATTCTCACTTTAGTGTGAATTATATCATTCAGCTAATTAGATCAGCACCTGTCTACTATTTTGTCATTGGGAGTTAACTAGCATTTAGATGGGGAAGGAGGGATGGATTTTGCATGATTTGGATCAGTTTATGCTGAATTGTTGACTTTATTTATTATTATTTTGAGACCGAGTTTTGCTTTTGTTGCCCAGTCTGGAGTGCAGTGGTGCAATCTGGCTCACTGCAACCTCCACCTCCCAGGTTCAAGCGATTCTCCTGCCTCAGCTTCCTAAGTAGCTGGGATTACAGCATGTGTCTCTACACCGACTGATTTTGTATTTTTAGTAGAGACAGTTTCTCCATGTTGATCAGGCTGGTCTCGAACTCCTGACCTTAGGTGATCAGCCCACCTCAGCCTCCTAATGTGCTGGGATTATAGGCGTGAACCACCACGCCTGGCCGAATTGTTGACTTTAAACAAAACCATTTGGATGTCTGGAAAGAAGAGAAGTAGGTGTTAAGAAGGTTTAGATAGCATGATGACTCACGCTTGTAATCCCAGCACTTTGGAAGACTAAGGTGGGAGGATCACTTGAGCCCAGGACTTTGAGACCAGCCTGGGCAACATAATGAGAACCTGTCTCTACCACAATTATAAAAAAAATTAGCCGGGCATGATGGCATACTCCTGTGGTCCCAGCTACTTGGGAGGCTGAGGTAGGAGGATCGTGTGAGACCACGAGGTTGAGGCTGCTGTGAGCCATGATTGCACCACTGTACTCGAGCCTGGGCGACAGAGCAAGACCCTATCTCAAAAAATAGGGGTGGTGGGGGGAAGGCACTGGTCCCCCTGATCTTCCCATCCTGCAGGGTCCAGGTCACTGTTGGATTCATATTCGGATCAATTTCTAACAGACAGATGACTTCCTAGCTGTGGGTCTCTATTTTATAGGTTTCTCATGAGAGAAACGAATTCTGTGTTTAGTGCCTGGAGTCAGGATTTGAGATGTAGTCTGGATTTAAGATGTCAACTGTTTAGAGTTGTTTGGGAAGGGCAACTCCCTTGAACCTGGAGAAAGACATTGGGGCTCTGAAAAGTTAGTCTTGCTATCAAAGGAAAGGAAGCCCCTTGTCTTGTAGGGAGCTGAGCTTAGGCTCAACCCTTGCACTGGTAGAAGGCAGAGCCCCACAATGAATGCATTGTAGCTACGATAGATTGTCTTGCAGTTAACACAGATGTTTATAAATTACCTTATATCTTAAATTCTGAACTTCCCATTGTTGAAAAGTCATTTACCTACTGAGAGAAATAGATTGTCCCAGCTGAGCTGATATTACCATTCCAGATGCATTGTAGTCATCATCTTAAGCAAGTTGAGGTTTCTGGGTAGGTGGGTTATTTACTGTCCACAGCTCCAAGACTGGGATTCGGAAAGCAAGAACTTACATGATTTTTATCTATGTTGTACGTATTCAAACTGAACTCTTTATTATTATTTTTTACCAATATGTTGCCAAAGCCAAAGGACTCTTCTACATTTTTTTTTAATCACTGAGACAGAAAGCTCACAAGAATCCTGTGAGGCCAGAGTATGACCCATCCCTATTTTACAGTTGAGGAAATTGAGATGTAAATAAGTTAAAAGGAATTATTGTTAATATTTTGGTGTAATAATGATATTGCAATTAATTAAATGAATCATATTTAGAGATATATACTGTAGAATTTAAAATGTAATAAAATCAAGTGAGGTGTTGGGGTTTAGAGGGCTTATAGATGAAACAAGATTGGCTATATGTTGATAATTGCTGAAGCCAATGATGGATACCTAGGTGTCTATTATTCTACTTTGTGTATATTTGAAAATTTCCATGATAACAAGTTGGACTGATATTCAAACCCATCTGACTCTAAAAGCCCTCCCCAGCTTTTTTTTTTTTTTTACTTTTTTGAGACAGAGTTTCTCCTTGTTGCCCAGGCTGGAGTGCAATGGCGTGATCTCAGCTCACTGCAACCTCCGCCGCTGGGTTCAAGCGATACTCCTGCCTCAGCCTCCCAAGTAGCTGGGATTATAGGCATGCACCACCACGACTGGCTAATTTTTTATTTTTAGTAGAGATGGGATTTCTCCATGCTGGTCAGACTGGTCTCAAACTCCTGACCTCAGGTGATCTGTCTGCCTCAGCCTTCCAACGTGCTGGGGTTACAGTCATGAGCCACTGCGCCCGGCCAGCCCTCCCTTTTTCAAACTCCAGTGATACAACATGCTATTTTGGAAGGAGTAAGTTCCCTGTCATAGGAGATATTCAAATATGGTTCAAATGGCTTCCCAAATTTAGTTATATGTCACCGTATCCTACAGAGTTTAGGCCTACTCAGTCCTGATTTGGAGGAAGGGGTGCCAAAGGACAGTATGAAATTTCAGGGGGAAGATAACCAGTTTTTGCAAAACTTTCCCTAAGTGATTCTAATGCAGCAAATGTGTTACTCCCTTGGACCTGCATTTGGGACCTCTTGACTAGATGACTTTAAAGTTTCTTCATACTTTAGGAGCCTACAAGGTTGGGAAAATGAAAAGATAAATAGCAAAGTGTAAAAATAGAGTACCCTGGGAACAGTTTCTTTTCAGCTCAAAACCCAAAGCATAGGTTGCTAATGCTTTCATTGCAAAACTCAACTTCCTGCCCCTGCTTGACCTTTTTAGTTTAGATTGGTCACTTCTAGTTCAACACATGTGTTCTCCACCCTTTCCTTTGGTGGGACAGGGGTGTGATACCCATGTAAGTCTCCCTACATTTATTTTTTCCTGTGTATTAAAATATTTGTCACAGTACCATCTTGATATTTTCCTTATTTGGGGTGCTTTCAGAAAGTATCTTGGAGGAATAATGAGGATGGGTAGTTTCCTAAAGATAGGAAGAAGTTTGCCCAGCAAGATCTGGGTAATCAGGTCACATGGTTGTTACAGAGAGCTACTAGTTGCTCAAATTCTAGGAATTAATTAACTAGGCTGCCAGCCAGGATTAGTTTTAGCAGAAACACATTCCTAGATCTTAGTTAAAAAGTATAGGGGAAGGATTAAAGTAGTAAGCAAATGAATTATGAGAGATATGAGCCAGAAACTGGGTAAGCAATAATATGACTTGATCAGGGGATCAATCAGAGATTGGAGCTAGATTACTACAGTGTAACATGTCAACAGCTTTACTGATAGCGTGCTATCAGAACTGACGTGGCTTAGGGTACTTGCCAGTCTTAGGGGAGTCTAATTGCAGCATGGCTGAGGAAGTGTTCATCATCCCATTATACTCTAATTAAACCCCATCTAATAATTTTGTTTGAGTATATCCTAAGAGGGGCCACCAGTAAGGAAACTGAAGTGTGTCTTTTTTTTTTTTTTTTTTTTAAAGACAGGGTCTCACACTGTTTCACCCAGGGTGGAATGCAGCAGTGTGATCACGGCTCACTGTAACCTATACCTCCCAGGCTCAAGTGATTCTTCTAATGCAGCCTCCTGAGTAGCTGGGACTACAGGTACATGCCACCACACCCAGCTAATTTTTTTAGTTTTTGTGAAGGTGAGGTCTCCCTATGGTGTAAGCCATTGTGCCCAGCCTAGAGTATGTCTTGAAAAGAGAAGACTACAGTTTTCAGGATCTAGAACTTATGCCATTTAAGGAACTGTTGGAGGTATTTTGTCTGAAGAAGAGAGTATTAATTGGAGTTAAATCACTGAATCTGAGTTTCTTTATCTATGAAATAAAGTTGGCTAGACTAGATCCCTTTCAGAAATAATAGTTGAAATTTGGGAAGTTGCTATGTGGAAGAGGAAGTGGACTTTTTTTTTTTTTTTAAAAGGTTTTGTATTTTGGACATACATTTTCAAACCAATTCAGAAAGTAGAATACCTGAAAGTCATGGTGCTCTTATAAAACAGGATGAAATATTGATATACTAATTTTTTCAGTATGTTAAATATATTAAGTATACTACTTTGTGTTACACTAGATGACAATCTGTGCTAGATTTTAATAGAAACAACTGGTAGAAGGGTAGGTGTGGTGGCTCATGTCTGTAAACCCAGTGCTTTGGGAGGCCAGGTGGGAGGATTGCTTGAGGCCAAGAATTTGAGACCAACTTGAGGAATGTAGGGAGACCCGTGTCTATGGGGAAAAAAAAAAAAAATAGCTGTGTGTGGTGACGCACGCTGGGACTATAGCTGTTCTGTAGTCCCAGCTACTCAAGAGGCTGCGGTAGGAGGAGCTCAAGCCCAGGAGTTTGAGGCTGCAGTGAGCTATGATAATAAAGCCCTTGTACTCAGCCAAGGCTATAGAATGAGACCCTGTCTCTAAAAAACAAAGAGAAATAACTGGTAGTAAGGGCTGAAAGTTAAAATACATTACATAGAAAAACTTAAAATTAAACAAGTCCTATTTGTTTGTTTGTTTTGTTTGTT